AAGTGCCCCCAGACCCACAGGTGCCACCCCCAATGCCCCACAAGTGCCCCACAAGTGTCTTTGCAGTGCCCCCAAGCGACCCCACAGTGCCCCCAGCCCCACAAGTACCCACCAAGTGCCCCACAAATGCCCCACAAGTGCCCCACCAGTGTCCTCACAGTGCCCCCAGCCCCACAAGTGCCCTCCAAGTCCAAGCTCCTGTCTGCGCCGCTCGGCGCCCCCTTTTCCCCGGGGGGGGATTAAAGTTTCCGTGTCCCCCCTAATCGGACTCCCCCGGGGCGACCCGAAAATCCCGGGATTAGGGGAGGGGGGGGCAGCTCCGGCCCCCCCGGGGGGCGGGATTAAGGTCAGGCCTGGGGGGCCCCTCTGGGGTGACCCCCCCGGGGAGCGCCCCCAACCCCCGCGACCCCCCAGGACCCCCCGTGGGCGCAGAACGGGATGGGGGGGGACACCCCGGGACCCCAAATTCCAGCGCCTCCCCCCCCCTCGTTAATCCACTCGGGTTAATTGCTAATTAGGGCTGCGGCTATTTTTGGGGGGCGGGGGGTGGGGCTCCCCCCGTGCCCCACTTGGCCCCGAGCCGGAGCCCCCCGTGATGTAACGCGGCCCCGTGACCCCGATCCGGGGGGCGGGGGGGGGCCCAGACCCCAAAATGTGGGTCAGGAGACCCCGGTGTGGGGCAGGATGGGCGGGAGGGGGGGGGTCAAGAACCCGATGTGGGTCAGGAGCAGGACCAGGACCCAGCTATGGGGCGGGGGGCTCCAGGACCCCTCAATGTGGGTCAGGACCCCCCAGAGTGGGTCAGGAGGGGGCTGGGACCCAGAATTTTGTGGGGCGGGGGACCAGGACCCCCCGATGTGGGGCAGGAGGGGGTCGGGACCCCGCTATGGGGCAGGAAGGGGGACAAAACCCCCCGCTGTGGGGCAGGACCCCGCTGTGGGGCCGTGTCACATACCGGGGGGGCCAACGCTGCTCCTGGGGGGCTCAGCCCCACACTTGGGGGTCGCGGGGGTCCCGATTTGGATCCCGAGGGGGCCCAGTGGGGAACGGGGGGTGGGGAATTGGCGCTGGGGTTTGGGCGGTCCGGGGGTCCCGGGGGTCTCTGGGGGTCCCGGGGGTCCCGGTTTCCATCCCGGCTGGCAGAGGGGTGTCCAAAGGAGGCTGTGACCCCTCGGGAAGCCCAGGCTGGAGCAGGCTCCTGCCAGGACCTGTGGAGAGAGGAGGCCAGGCTGGAGCAGCTTTGCTGGCAGGACTTGTGACCTGCAGGGAGCCCACACTGGAGCAGGCAGCTCCTGAAGGACTGCATCCTTGGGGGACTCACATTGACATTCTCACTGGAGAAGTTAATGGAGAACCATCTCCTGTGAGAGGGACTTCACCTGGAGCAAGGAAGGGGTGTGAAGAGCCCTCCCCACGGAGAAGGAGGAGATGCTTTGGGTGCCACAGCAGACCTTCCTGCACCCCATGGTGAGACAGGCTGTGCCCCTGCACCCCGTGGGGGACCACGGTGGAAATTGTCCCAGGCAGGACAGCAGGAACCCCTCCTGCAGCTGGGAACAAGGGAGGAATTCAGAGCCATGTCAAACCCAAAACCCAGCCCAAGGGGACTGGGGCTGACATCCTGCTCTGCTTTCCCCTCACATGCAGCATGGGGAGTTAGCTGAAGAAGCTGCAACAATTGCTTTTGAATACATTCCAAAACTAATTTAATGTACGATGTCTGCTGGGACTGGGTGAGTCAGAGCACTGTGATGGGACTCTGAATGCGCTGCAATTTATTTGTACTGAAGTTTAAATAAGATTGATGGAGCCATAAGGCCATTATTGAAGAGGCTTCATGGTGGAGCCCAGAGGGAAAATGAAGCATAGCAACAGGCTCTCGATTCTGTAACATCCTCCCACCTCACTGTGGGGTTGTGATGGTGGTAGGTCTTTTTTGTCAGCTGGTTTGGGTCCTCAGAGAGCTGTGGGTGGCTGCAGACTGGTGTGGATGCCTGGGACTTGTGAGAATCACCAGAGCTCTGCAAGAAGATTTCCCAGGAAATTTTGGGTCAAACAACGCATTTTGGGGGTCCCGGGGGTTTCTGGGGGTCCCGGGGGTTTCCGGGGTGCCGATTTCCATCCCGGGGGTCCCGCTGGGATCTCGGGGGTCCCGGGGGGGCAGCTCGGACCCGGAGAGGGGGGCAATTTGAATCCCGGGGGGGCCAATTTGGACCCCAGGAGGGGTGAAAATGATCCAGGAATTTTGGGGCTGTTTGTGACAAACGCGGCGTTTTGGGGGTCCCGGGGGTCTCTGGGGGTCCCGGGGGTCTCTGGGGGTCCCGGTTCCCACCCCGGGGGTCCCATTGGGATCCCGGGGGTCCCAGAGGCATGGAGGGACACAGAGGGACATTAGGGGACACTGGGGGACACTGGGAGACACGGGGCGAGGGGGTCTGGGGCAGTTTGGGGGAGTTTTGGGGCGGTTTTGAGGAGTTTTGGGGTCAGTGGACATCGATGGCAACAACGTGCATTGAAGACATGGAGGGACACAGGGGACATGGAGGGACCTGGGGGGACGTGGGAGTACAAAAGGGGCAGGACGGGACATTAGGGGTGACCAAAAGGCACAAAGGGACATGAAGGGACACAAGGGGAGCATTTTGGGGGAGTTTTTGGGGTCAATGATCAGTGTATGCCAACCCGTATTGATGGCAGTGACACAGTGAAGATGTGAGGGGACATGAGGGGACACAAGGTGACACATTTTGGGGGGGTTTGGGGAGTTTTGGGGTTGGTGGTCAAGGTGCGCCAACAGTAGAGATGAGCGTGGTGAAAGTATTGGGGACATTGAGGGGACACTGAGGCATGGAGGGACACAAGGGGAGCATTTTGGGGGAGTTTTTGGGGTCAACGATCAACGTACACCAACCCGTATCGATGGCAGTGACGCAGTGAAGATGTGGGGGGACACGGGGGGACACGAGGGGACACGGAGGGACATGACGAGACACAAAGGGACACCAGGGGATCATTTTGAGGGAGATTTGAGGGAGTTCTGAAGAGTTTTGAGGAGTTTTGAGGAGTTTTGAGGTCATTGATCAACCTACACCAACCCATATCGATGGCAGTGACACAGTGAAGATGTGAGGGGACATGAGGGGACACGAGGTGACACGAGGGTCACTCACGGCCACCACCGCTGTCCCCCAGGTCCCTTCGAGGGCCCCAACTACCACATCGCGCCGCGCTGGGTGTACAACCTGACGTCGCTGTGGATGATCTTCGTGGTGATCGCCTCGGTGTTCACCAACGGGCTGGTGCTGGTGGCCACGGCCAAGTTCAAGAAGCTGCGGCACCCCCTGAACTGGATCCTGGTCAACCTGGCCGTGGCCGACCTGGGCGAGACGGTCATCGCCAGCACCATCAGCGTGGTCAACCAGATCTTCGGCTACTTCATCCTCGGCCACCCCATGTGCGTCATCGAGGGCTACACCGTCAGCGCCTGCGGTCAGTTGGGCTGGGGGCACGCTGGGGGTGTGGGCAGGGTCTGTGGTCAGTGCCTGTGGTCAGTTGGGCTGGGGGCATGGGGCGGGGTGTGGTCAGTGCTTGTGGTCAGTGCTTGTGGTCAGTTGGGCTGGGGACATGGGGTGGGGTGTGGTCAGTGCATGTGGTCAGTTGGGCTGGGGGCACGCTGGGGGTGTGGGCAGGGTCTGTGGTCAGTGCCTGTGGTCAGGTGGGGGTGTGGGCAGTGCCTGTGGTCAGTTGGGGGTAGGGGAATGAGGGGGGGTGGTCAGTGCCTGTGGTCAGGTGGGGGTGTGGGCAGTGCCTGTGGTCAGTTGGGGGTAGGGGAATGAGGGGGGGTGGTCAGTGCCTGTGGTCAGGTGGGGGTGTGGGCAGTGCCTGTGGTCAGTTGGGGGTAGGGGAATGAGGGGGGGTGGTCAGTGCCTGTGGTCAGGTGGGGGTGTGGGCAGTGCCTGTGGTCAGTTGGAGGCAGGGGGATGTGGGGTGGGATTTGGGTCACGGATGTGGGGCTGGGGTCAGGGTCAGGGTGTAGGTCAGGGATAAGGAGCAGGAATGTGGGTCACAGACACGGGGCAGGGATGTGGGGCTGGGGTCAGGGTGTAGGTCACGGATATGGGGCAGGGATGTGGGTCACAAATGTGGGTCACAAATGTGGGTCACAAATGTGGGTCAGGAATATGGGTCAGGGACTCTCTATGGGTCTGGGCGCTATGGGGCAGCCCCACAACCACCCCAACCCCTACAGGCATCACTGCACTTTGGTCCCTGGCCACCCTCCCCATAGCAGGGACTGGATGTTATGGGATTGTCTATGGGGTTCCATGGGGTTCTATGGGGTTCTATGGGGTTCTGTGGGTCTGGGCGCTATGGGGCAGCCCCACAACCACTCCAAACCCCTGCAGGCATCACGGCACTGCAGTTCCTGGGCACACTCCCCATAGCACAAACTGGATGTTATGGGGTTGTCTATGGGGTTCTGTGGGGCTGGGCTCTATAGGGCCGCTCTCTATGGGTCTGGGCGTTATGGGGCAGCCCCACAACCACTCCAAACCCCTGCAGGCATCACGGCACTGCAGTTCCTGGGCATCGTCCCCACAGCAGGGACTGGAAGCTGTGGGGTTCTCTGTGGGACTGTATGGGGTTTTATGGGGTTCTATGGGGTTCTATGGGGTTCTATGGGTCTGGGTGCTATGGGGCAGCCCCATAGCCACCCCAAACCCCTGCAGGCATCCCGGTGCTGCACCCTCCCCATAGCAGGGACTGGATGTTATGGGGTTGTCTATGGGGTTCCATGGGGTTCTGTGGGTCTGGGCGCTATGGGGCAGCCCCACAACCACCCCAAACCCCTGCAGGCATCCCAGTGCTGCACCCTCCCCATAGCAGGGACTGGATATTATGGGGTTCCATGGGGTTCCATGGGGTTCTATGGGGTTCCATGGGGTTCTGTGGGTCTGGGCGCTATGGGGCAGCCCCACAACCACCCCAAACCCCTGCAGGCATCACGGCGCTCTGGTCGCTGGCCATCATCTCCTGGGAGCGCTGGTTCGTGGTCTGCAAACCCTTCGGCAACATCAAGTTCGACGGGAAGCTGGCGGTGGCTGGGGTCCTCTTCTCCTGGATCTGGTCCTGCGCCTGGACCGCGCCCCCCATCTTCGGCTGGAGCAGGTGGGGAGGGGTCCCCAGGCCCTGGGGAGGGGTCTGGGGGTCACACGAGTGTCCCCAGGGTTTGTTGGAGGTCACACGAGTGTCCCCAAGGTGTGGGGAGGGGTCTGGGCCGGGGTCCTCTTCTCCTGGATCTGGTCCTGCCCCTGCACTGCACCCCCCATTCTCAGCTGGAGCAGGTGGGGAGGGGTCCCCAGGCCCTGGGGAGGGGTCCGGGGGTCACACGAGTGTCCCCAGGGGGTGTTGGGGGTGACACGAGTGTCCCCAGAGCTGTCAGAGGCTCCAGGGATGACCCGAGGGTCCCCCAAATGGGTCTGGGGGTGTCTCCCTGAGGTTCCCCAGGGGTACCCCAGACCCGGATTTTTTCTGAGGAATTTGGGGGTTCCCCGTTGTCCCCCCTGACCCCCCGGTGTCCCCCTAGAGACCCCACGGGGGTGCCCCAGGTGTCCCCAGGGCTACCTGAGGTGTCCCCGGCAGGTACTGACCCCACGGGGGCACGGGGGTGCCCCAGGTGTCCCCAGATTGAGTCTGGGGGTGTCTCCCCGAGGTTTCCCGGGGTCCCCCAGACCCAGATCCTTCCCGAGGACTTTGGGGGGTCCCGGTTGTCCCCCCTGACCCCCCGGTGTCCCCGGCAGGTACTGACCCCACGGGGGTGACCCAGGTGTCCCCAAATTGAGTCTGGGGGTGTCTCCCCGAGGTTTCCCGGGGTCCCCCAGACCCAGATCCTTCCCGAGGACTTTGGGGGGTCCCCGTTGTCCCCCCTGACCCCAAATGTCCCCTGGCAGGTACTGGGGGTGCCCCAGGTGTCCCTAAGGTGGCTCTGGGGGTGCCCCCCAGGGGTCCCCCAGACCCGGATTTTTTCTGAGGACTTTGGGGGGTCCCGGTTGTCCCCCCTGACCCCCCGGTGTCCCCGGCAGGTACTGACCCCACGGGGGTGACCCAGGTGTCCCCAGATTGAGTCTGGGGGTGCCCCCCCGAGGTTTCCCGGGGTCCCCCAGACCCAGATCCTTCCCGAGGACTTTGGGGGGTCCCCGTTGTCCCCCCTGACCCTCCGGTGTCCCCCCGGCAGGTACTGGCCCCACGGGGGCACGGGGGTGACCCAGGTGTCCCCAAATTGAGTCTGGGGGTGTCTCCCCGAGGTTTCCCGGGGTCCCCCAGACCCGGATTTTTTCTGAGGACTTTGGGGGTGTCCCTAAGGTGGCTCTGGGGGTGCCCCCCAGGGGTCCCCCAGACCCGGATTTTTTCTGAGGACTTTGGGGGGTCCCGGTTGTCCCCCCTGACCCCCCGGTGCCCCCGGCAGGTACTGGCCCCACGGGCTGAAGACGTCGTGCGGGCCGGACGTGTTCAGCGGCAGCTCGGACCCGGGCGTGCAGTCCTACATGGTGGTGCTGATGGTCACCTGCTGCTTCTTCCCGCTGGCCGTCATCATCTTCTGCTACCTGCAAGTGTGGCTGGCCATCCGCGCGGTGAGCGGACACCCCAAAATACCTGGGACAAAAAAATCAGCAAAAAAAAAAAAGCCAGGGGAAAAAAAAGAAAAGAAAAAAAAGAAAAAAAAAAAAAAAAACCAAACAAAAACAAACCGGGGGAAAAAAAAGAAAAAACAAACCCAGAAAAAAAAAGGGGAAAAAAATCCTGAAAAAAAAACCCAAACAAAAACAAAACAAAAAAAAACCCAGAAGAAAAAAAAAAAAGAAAAAAAAAAAAAAAAACCAAACAAAAACAAACCGGGGGAAAAAAAAGAAAAAACAAACCCAGAAAAAAAAAGGGGAAAAAAATCCTGAAAAAAAAACCCAAACAAAAAAACCCAGGACCCCCCTAACCCCCCCATGTGCCCCCCAGGTGGCGGCCCAGCAGAAGGAGTCGGAGTCGACGCAGAAGGCGGAGAAGGAGGTGTCGCGCATGGTGGTGGTGATGATCCTGGCCTACTGCTTCTGCTGGGGGCCCTACACCATCTTCGCCTGCTTCGCCGCCGCCAACCCCGGCTACGCCTTCCACCCGCTCACCGCCGCGCTGCCCGCCTTCTTCGCCAAGAGCGCCACCATCTACAACCCCATCATCTACGTCTTCATGAACAGACAGGTGGGCTGGGGGCGCCTGGGCACACCTGGGGGCACCTGGGCCAACGTGGGCACAGCTACGGGCCAGCTGGGCACAGTCTACGTCTTCATGAACAGACAGGTGGGCTGGGGGTGCCTGGGCACAGCTGGGGGCACCTGGGCACACCTGGGCACAGCTATGGGCATGGGATATGGGGTATGGGGTATGGGATATGGGACAGGGCCACCATCTACAACCCCATCATCTACGTCTGCATGAACAGACAGGTGGGCTGGGGGCTCCTATGGCACACCTGGGCACACCTGGGCACACCTGGGGGCACCTGGGTGCACCTGGGCACAGCTACAGGCATGGGGACATGGGATAGAGCAGGGTTATGGGGCTGGGACAAGGACAGGGTCACCATCTACAGCCCCATCATCTACGTCTTCATGAACAGACAGGTGAGGGGCACACCTGGGCACACCTGGGCACACCTGGGGGCACCTGGGCACACCTGGGTACAGCTACGGGCACGGGGTATGGGATATGGGACAGGGTCACCATCTACAACCCCGTCATTTACATCTTCATGTCCCCCTGTCTGTCCCCTGTTCGTCCTCTGTGCCTGGTCTGTCCTCCCTGTCCCCTCTCTGTCCCTCATCCCTCCTGTCCCCTCTCTGTCCCCTGCCTGTCCCATGTCCCCTGTGTGTCCCCTGTGTGTCCCCATGTCCCCCGTCTATCCCCCCGTCCCCTGTCTGTCCCCTGTCCCCTGTGTCCCCTGTCTGTCCCCTGTCTGTCCCTGTGTCCCCTGTCTGTCCCTGTCCATCCAAGTCTGTCCTTGCCTGTAGCAGTCTGTCCCTGCCCAGGTGTCCCCAGATTGAGTCTGGGGGTGTCTCCCCGAGGTTTCCCGGGGTCCCCCAGACCCGGATTTTTTCTGAGGACTTTGGGGGGTCCCCGTTGTCCCCCCTGACCCCAAATGTCCCCTGGCAGGTACTGGGGGTGCCCCAGGTGTCCCTAAGGTGGCTCTGGGGGTGCCCCCCAGGGGTCCCCCAGACCCGGATTTTTTCTGAGGACTTTGGGGGGTCCCGGTTGTCCCCCCTGACCCCCCGGTGCCCCCGGCAGGTACTGGCCCCACGGGCTGAAGACGTCGTGCGGGCCGGACGTGTTCAGCGGCAGCTCGGACCCGGGCGTGCAGTCCTACATGGTGGTGCTGATGGTCACCTGCTGCTTCTTCCCGCTGGCCGTCATCATCTTCTGCTACCTGCAAGTGTGGCTGGCCATCCGCGCGGTGAGCGGACACCCCAAAATCCCTGGGACAAAAAAATCAGCAAAAAAAAAAAAGCCAGGGGAAAAAAAAGAAAAGAAAAAAAAAGAAAAAAAAAAAAAAGAAAAATCCTGAAAGAAAAAAAAACCAAAACAAACAAAAACAAATTGGAAAAAAAACCAAAAAAAAAAAAACAGGAAAAAAAGAAAAGAAAAAAAAAGGGAAAAAAAGAAAAAAAGAACATAAGATTATGCAATTAAAATAAAAGATTGTATCACATGCTTATAAATGTGCCCAACTCTGGAATTTCCTCATACCAGACTGCTTAACTTTGAAACCTTGTTCCCAAACAAAAAAAAAAACCGGGGGAAAAAAATCCTGATACAAAAAAAAAAAAAAAAAAACCAAAAAAAAAACCAAACCAAAAAACAACCAGGAAAACAACCAGGAAAAAACAACCAGGAAAAAAAATCCTGAACTGAAAAAATCCCTTTAACCCGAGTCTCCCCTCTCAGGTCACTGCCCAGAAGGAGTCAGGTGCACCTGGGCACAGCTACAGGCATGGGGACATGGGATAGAGCAGGGTTATGGGGCTGGGACAAGGACAGGGTCACCATCTACAACCCCATCATCTACGTCTTCATGAACAGACAGGTGGGCTGGGGGCGCCTGGGCACAGCTACAGTACACCTGGGCACAGCTGGGGGCAGCTGGGCACAGCTGGGCACAGCTGGGTACAGCTACGGGCAGGGTTATGGGACAGGGACACAGACAGGATCACCATCTACAACCCCATCATCTACGTCTTCATGAACAGACAGGTGGGCTGGGGGTGCCTGGGCACAGCTGGGGGCACCTGGGCACACCTGGGCACAGCTATGGGCATGGGATATGGGGTATGGGGTATGGGATATGGGACAGGGCCACCATCTACAACCCCATCATCTACGTCTGCATGAACAGACAGGTGGGCTGGGGGTGCCTGGGCACAGCTGGGGGCACCTGGGCACACCTGGGCACAGCTATGGGCATGGGATATGGGGTATGGGGTATGGGATATGGGACAGAGCCACCATCTACAACCCCATCATCTACGTCTGCATGAACAGACAGGTGGGCTGGGGGCTCCTATGGCACACCTGGGCACACCTGGGCACACCTGGGGGCACCTGGGTGCACCTGGGCACAGCTACAGGCATGGGGACATGGGATAGAGCAGGGTTATGGGGCTGGGACAAGGACAGGGTCACCATCTACAGCCCCATCATCTACGTCTTCATGAACAGACAGGTGAGGGGCACACCTGGGCACACCTGGGCACACCTGGGGGCACCTGGGCACACCTGGGTACAGCTACGGGCACGGGGTATGGGATATGGGACAGGGTCACCATCTACAACCCCGTCATTTACATCTTCATGTCCCCCTGTCTGTCCCCTGTTCGTCCCCTGTGCCTGGTCTGTCCTCCCTGTCTCCTCTCTGTCCCTCATCCCTCCTGTCCCCTCTCTGTCCCCTGCCTGTCCCCTCCCCTGTGCCCCTGCTGTCCCCATGTCCCCCGTCTATCCCCCTGTCCCCTGTCTGTCCCCTGTCCCCGCTGTCTCCTGTGTGTCCCCATGTCTGCTGTCCCGTGTCCCCTGTCCTCCCCTGTGTCCCCATGTCCCCTGCCTGTCCCCTGTCTGTCCCCTGTCCCCTGTGTCCCCTGTCTGTCCCCTGTCTGTCCCCTGTCCCCTGTCTGTCCCTGTGTCCCCTGTCTGTCCCCTGTGTGTCCCCTGTGTGTCCCCGGTGTGTCCCCGGCGTGTCGCGGTGTCCCCGCAGTTCCGGAACTGCATCCTGCAGCTCTTTGGCAAGAAGGTGGACGATGGCTCCGAGGTGTCCACCTCGCGCACCGAGGTGTCCTCGGTGTCCAACTCCTCCGTGTCCCCCGCCTAGGGACCCCCGCCGCCCCCTCCCCAATAAAGCTTTGTACCTCCCGGACAGCCGTGCCACCGTGTCACCTCCCTGTGGGGCTCTCAGTGTCACCTCCCTGTGCTGGCCCTGTGTCCCTGGGGGGCTGGGGGTCCCCTCTTTGGTGTCCCCAGGGTACTGGGGGCTCTCAGTGTCACCTCCCTGTGCTGGCCCCGGGGCTGGGGGCTCTCAGTGTCACCTCCCCTGTGCTGGCCCTGGGGTTGGGGGTCCCCCTCTTTGGTGTCCCCAGGGTACTGGGGGCTCTCAGTGTCACCTCCCTGTGCTGGCCCTGTGTCCCCGGGGGGCTGGGGGTCCCCAGTGTCACCTCCCCTGTGCTGGCCCCGGGGCTGGGGGTCCCCTCTGAGTGTCCCCAATGTCCCCGGGGGGCTGGGGGCTCTCAGTGTCACCTCCCTGTGCTGACCCCAGGGCTGGGGGTCCCCTCTGAGTGTCCCCGGTGTCCCCATGGCACTGGGGGTGCTCATTGTCCCCCTCTCTGGGTGTCCCCGGTGTCCCCACGGCACTGGGACCTCTCAGTGTCCCCCTCTTTAGGTGTCCCCAGTGGCTCTTGGGGTCCCCTCTTTGGTGTCCCCAATGTCCCCAGGGTACTGAGGGTTCTCAGCATCCCCTCTGGGTGTCCCCAGTGTCCCCTCCTTGGTGTCCCTAATGTCCCCAGGGGGCTGGGGGCTCTCAGTGTCACCTCCCTGTGCTGGCCCCAGGGCTGGGGGTCCCCTCTGGGTGTCCCCAATGTCACCCAGAGCGCTGGGGGTGCTCATTGTCCCCCTCTCAGGGTGTCCCCAGTGTCCCCTCCTTGGTGTCCCCAATGTCCCCAGAACACTGGGGGCTCTCGGTGTCACCTCCTTGGGGTCCCCAGAACACTGGGGGTTCTTGATGTCACCTCCCCATGCTTGCCCCAGTGTCCCCAGGGGGCTGGGGGTCCCCTCTGGCTGTCCCCAATGTCCCCAGGGTGCTGGGGGTTCTCGGTGTCCCCTCCTTGGTGTCCCCAATGTTCCCTCCTGGGTGTCCCCAGTGTCCCCAAGGCTCTGGGTGTCCCCCGTGTCCCCTCCTTGGTGTCCCCAATGTCCCCTCCTGGGGGTCCCCAGCCCTCCCATCAGCCTTTGCGGCGGTGTCACCCCCGTGTCCCCCCAAATCCCCCCCGGACCCCGCTGGGCCCGCCCCCGCGAGCTCGCAGCCAATGGGAAGCGCTCCCGCTGCGCTCGTCACTTCTATTGGTCAATATGAATGTCAATCATCGCTGCCCCAAGCAGCCAATCAGAAGCCGGGGTGAGGCGAAAGGGGCGTGATCTGGATGGAGGTGATGTCATCGCCTCTGGCCACGCCTCCCGTGCGCTCTGATTGGTGAAAAAGGGCGGGAGGGGCGCGCGCCGCGCTGTGATTGGCGGGGAGGGGGCGGGAAAGGGGCGGGGCCAGGGGAAACGGGGGGGGCACCTGGGCAGGGGTGGGGCCGGGGGGGGACAGCTGTGGGCAGGGGTGACAGCGACAGGGGAGGCGGGGACAGGGGTGACACGGCCAGGTGTGCCCAGGTGTGACAGGGACAGGGGTGACCAGGTGTGACAGGGCTGTCCAGATGTGACAGGTACAGGTGTGACAGGGCCAGGGGTGACCAGGTGTGACAGGGACAGGGGTGACCAGGTGTGACCAGGTGTGTCGGGGCTGTCCAGGTGTGACGGGGACAGGGGTGACACGGCCAGGTGTGGCCAGGTGTGACAGGGCCAGAGATGTCCAGATGTGACAGGGGCAGGTGTGTCCAGGTGTCGGAGCTGTCCAGGTGTGACAGGCCCCGGGGGGCTGGGGGGGGGCTGGGGGCAGGGCCAGGTGTGACAGGGACAGAGATGTCCAGATGTGACAGGGGCAGGTGTGTCCAGGGGTCGGAGCTGTCCAGGTGTGGCAGGGACAGGGGTGACAGGGATGTCCAGGTGTTTTGGGGATGTCCAGGTGTCAGGGCCAGGTGTGACCAGCTGTGTCCAGATGTGTTGGGGATGTGCAGGCATCAGGAACAGGTCTGACCAGCTGTGACCAGGTGTGACAGGGCCAGGTGTGACAGGGCCAGGTGTGACAGGGCCAGGTGTGCCCAGGTGTGGTGGGGACAGGTGTGTCCAGGTGTGGCAGGGTTGTCCAGGTGTCAGGGACAGGTGTGTCCGGCTGTTCTTGGGGCACACACGTGTGCCAGGTGTGTCAGGGACAGGTGTGAGCAGGCACTGGGGGTTACTGGGAGCACTGGGAGTTACTGGGACTTACTGGGAGGTTACTAGGGGCACTGGGGGTTACTGGGATTCACTGAGTGAACTGGGGGTTACTGGGAGAGCTGTGAGCTACTGGGGACACTGGGAATTACTGCGATTCACTGGGAGCACTGGGAGTTACTGGGGGTTACGGGGGACACTGGGAGATACTGGGAGCACTGGGAGTTCCTGGGGGTTACTAGGGTTCACTGGGTGAACTGGGACATACTGGAAGCACTGGGAGAGCTGTGAGCTACTGGGGACACTGGGATTCACTGGGAGTTACTGGGAATGACTGGGATTCACTGGGAGCACTGGGATTCACTGGGAGTTACTGGTTCTTACTGGGAGCCCACGTGTGCCCAGCTGTGCCGCGCTGGGGGCGGGGCTTTCCCGCGGTGGGCGGGGTTTACAGCACGGGGGCGGTGGTTTCCCCGCGTGGTGGGCGTGGTTTTGCCCATATAAGTGCGATCAGGCCCCGCCCCCGCCTGAGGCCCCGCCCCCCGTTTGGCGCAGTCCGCGCGCGCCGCCGCAGGGCCGGGGGCGGGGCCTCGGCGCGGGGCTCGGGCGCTGATTGGCTGAAAGCGTGGGATGGGCAGGAGGGGCGGGGCTTGGGCGGAGCGAGACGGGACTGGGAGAACTGGGGGGAACTGGAGAGACTGGGAGGGACTGGGGGAACTGGGGAGGGACTGGGAGAACTGGGATTTACTGGGGGCACTGGGGGGGACTGGGATTTACTGGGGTACTGGGAGTTATGGGGAAGAACTGGGAGTCACTGTTGGTCCCTCGTGGTCACCGATGGTCCCTGGTGGTCACTGGTGGTCACTGGGAGTCACTGGTGGTCCCTGGTGGTCGCTGGTGTCCCGGGGGGGAGTTATGGGGAAGAACTGGGAGTCACTGGTGGTCGCCGGTGGTCACTGGTGGTCCCTGGTGTCCCCGGTGGTCCCCGGTGTCCCGGGGCCGGGCGCTGCCCGCTGTCCCCTCAGGTGTCCCCGCTGTCCCCAGGTGTGGCCCGGACAGGGGGGGCGGCCGGGCCCCCCCCGGCGAGACCCCCCCCAGGCCCCGCCAGCGCTGACAGGTGAGGGGCGCTGGCCCTGTCCCCATGGCTGTCCCTGTCCCCATGGCCGTGCCTGTCCCCAGCCCTGTCCCCACGGCCGTCCCCTGCTGTCCCCACGCTGTGCTCGGTGTCCCCTGGCTCTGATGTGTCCCCAGGCCTTCAGCCGTGTCCCCAGCGCTGTCCCCAGCACTGTCCCCAAACCCTGAGCGCTGTCCCCAAACCCTGAGCGCTGTCCCCAACACTGTCCCCGTGTCCCCAGCCCTGTCCCCAGGCCTTCAGCCGTGTGGCCTCAACGCTGTCCCAGTGTCCCCAGCCACGCCCCCAGCGCTGTCCCCGGTCCTCACCTCTGTTCCCGTGGCCCCAGCAGTGTCCCCACGGCTGTCCCCATGTTGTCCCCTGTCCCCATTGCTGTCCCTATGGCTGTCCCCTGTCCCCAGCCGTGTTCCCAGCGGTGTCCCCGCTGCCGTCCCTGTCCCCAGCGTGTCCCCGTGGCTGTCCCCACGGCTGTCCCCTGTCCCTGTTGCTGTCCCCGTGGCTGTCCCTGTCCCCAGCAGTGTCCCCAGCAGTGTCCCCGTGGCTGTCCCCTGTCCCCACGCCGTGCCGTGCCCGTTGCTGTCCCCGTGGCTGTCCCCAGCGTGTCCCCAGCAGTGTCCCCATTGCTGTCCCGTGTCCCCACGCTGTCCCGTGCCCGTTGCTGTCCCCGTGGCTGTCCCCAGCGTGTCCCCAGCAGTGTCCCCGTGGTGTCCCGCTGTCCCCACGCCGTGCCGTGCCCGTTGCTGTCCCCGTGGCTGTCCCCAGCGTGTCCCCAGCAGTGTCCCCGTGGTGTCCCGTGTCCCCACGCCGTGCCGTGCCCGTGGCTGTCCCTGTCGCTGTCCCCACGCTGTCCCTGTCCCCGTGGCTGTCCCCAGCCCTGTCCCCTGTCCCTGTCCCCGTGGCTGTCCCCAGCCCTGTCCCTGTCCCCGTGGCTGTCCCTGTCCCTGTCCCCATGGCTGTCCCCGTGGCTGTCCCCGTGGCTGTCCCCAGCGTGTCCCCTGTCCCTGTCCCCGTGGCTGTCCCTGTCGCTGTCCCCACGCTGTCCCGTGCCCGCAGGCCGCCATGGCGGAGGCCGGGGGGGGTTTCGGGCTGGCGCTGCCGGAGCTGCGGGCGCTGATGGAGCTGCGCGGCCCCGAGGCGCTGCTGAGGCTGCAGCGCGACCTGGGGGGGGTCCCGGGGCTCTGCCGCCGCCTGCGCACCTCCCCCACCGACGGTAACGGCCCCGACCCGGCACCCCCAAAACCCACCGGGACCCCCAAAACCCACCGGGACCCCCAAAAACAACCGGGACCCACCGGGAGCCCAGGGACCCCCAAAACCCACCGGGAGCCCCCAGACCCACCGGGACCCCCAGGATCCACCGGGACCCCCCAAAACCCACCGGGACCCCCGGGAACTCCCCAAACCCACCGGGAGCCCCCAGACCCACCGGGAGCCCCAAAACCCACCGGGAGCCACAGGGACCCCCTAAAACTCACCGAGTCCGCCCAGACCCACCAGGACCCCCCCAAAACCCACCGGGATCCCCCAAAACCCACCGTGAACCCCTGGGAACCTCCAAAACCCACCGGGACCTCCTGGGAACCCACGGGGACCCCCCCCCCCCGCACCCCGGGAGCCCC